CAATTCATCCCCCGTATAGTATTTCATCCCTCGTATAGTATTTCATCCCCCGTATAGTATTTCATCCCCCGTATAGTATTTCATCCCCCATATAGTATTTCATCCCCCATATAGTATTTCATCCCTCATATAGTATTTCATCCCCCATATAGTAATTCATCCCTCATATAGTATTTCATCCCTCATATAGTATTTCATCATCCCCCCATATAGTATTTCATCCCTCATATAGTATTTCATCCCCCCATATAGTATTTCATCCCTCATATAGTATTTCATCCCTCATATAGTAATTCATCCCTCATATAGTATTTCATCCCCCATATAGTAATTCATCCCTCATATAGTATTTCATCCCCCCATATAGTATTTCATCCCCCCATATAGTATTTCATCCCTCATATAGTAATTCATCCCTCATATAGTATTTCATCCCCCCATATAGTATTTCATCCCCCCATATAGTATTTCATCCCCCCATATAGTATTTCATCCCTCATATAGTAATTCATCCCTCATATAGTATTTCATCCCTCATATAGTATTTCATCCCTCATATAGTATTTCATCCCCCATATAGTATTTCATCCCCCCATATAGTATTTCATCCCCTCATATAGTATTTCATCCCTCATATAGTATTTCATCCCCCCATATAGTATTTCATCCCTCATACAGTAATTCATCCCTCATATAGTAATTCATCCCCCATATAGTATTTCATCCCTCATATAGTATTTCATCCCCCCCCCATATAGTATTTCATCCCTCATATAGTAATTCATCCCCCCATATAGTATTTCATCCCCCCATATAGTATTTCATCCCCCCATATAGTATTTCATCCCTCATATAGTAATTCATCCCTGATATAGTAATTCATCCCCCATATAGTATTTCATCCCCCCATATAGTATTTCATCCCTCATAAAGTAATTCATCCCTCATATAGTATTTCATCCCCCACAGTACTATTCCCCCCCCCCCTTCTAGTAAGCCAAGTCCCCCGTGTCAATTCACTTACCTTTTGCGTTCCTCTCGCTGTCTTCCCGCGCCGTTCGGGTCTTCAGGGCGGACTGTGAGAGGAGCCTAGCTCCCCTCCCCTCACGTTCGGCACGCTGCCCCGCCTACACACATCCTGACAGCCACATCCGCAAGCCGGATTAAAAGGTCCGCGCGGACTTTTGGGGCTGCCAACCGAGAGGAGGCAGGGGAGCGGCCGACCGAGAGGAGGGAGGGGAGCAGGCGCCCGGCACACAGAAGAGCCGCATTAGACTGGGTAAAGAGCCGCATGTGGCTCGCGAGCCGCGGCTTGCCGACCACTGGCCTAGGAAAAGGGTCTTGGTGGTGCAGCCCTCCTGTTACTGGGGGATCATCCAAAAACTGGAAAGAAAAGCACACAAGGGGTGCAAACACCTAGCGCATTTTCCAAGGTTTATTGAAAAAAACAAAAAACATACTCACAAATAGAGTGTATAAAAGCCTTCTAAAACTGCTGAGATGACCCAACGTGATGACAGAGTACCCGACTGGTGGTGGCCTGCTGACTCATGTCAGGGACGTGTCCCCTTCCTCAGAGCTTGCTTAGCTCTAAGGAATAGCTCTTTAGAGATTGCTCCCTCTGTACAGAGCCCTGTGTTGATTGTCAACACAGGGCTCTGCATACCTCCCAACTCTCTTAGATGGGAATGAGGGACACCTATTAGCAAAAGTATGTAGGCATAAGGCACACCCCCTTCCATGTCCCCCTTAACCGCCTCTCGCCCGCCATATAAGGTAATTACGGTGTAAGGCGGTTCTCTCGTTCTGGGACGAGAGAACCCATGCTAACCGCACAAGCGTAGCTCCGGGAGTGCGCAGCGCGGCGATCTGTGGTACGGTGTGTACCTCGGACACAGCAGATCACCGCGATCAATGGGAAGAGCCGAAGATGTCAGCTCGGTAATGTGATCAGCTGTGTCCAATCACAGCTGATCGCATGTAAATAGGGAAATGCCGGTTATCTGCATTTCTCTCCTCACGAGCTGTCGCGCTGACAACTCGAGAGGAGAGCCGGTAATCGGCTTTACTCAGAGGGGACATGTACACTGATCATCAGGGCACTGATGATCAGTGTGCCCTGATGATCAGTGTAGCCCCAGCAGTGCCACCTGTCAGTGTCCATCAGTGCCAGCTCTCAGTGCTCATCCATGCCACCTCTCAGTGCCCATCAGTGCCACATCAATGCCACATATCAGTGCCTACCAGTGCACATCAATGCCACATATCAGTGCCCATCTGAGCTGCCTTTCAGTGTTGCATATCAGTGCCAGTCAGTGCCGCCTATCAGTGCCAGTCAGTGCTGCATATTAGTGCCGCCTAACAGTGCCAGTCAGTGCCACCTAACAGTGCCAGTCAGTGCCACCTAACAGTGCCAGTCAGTGCTGCCTCTCAGTGCCGCCTATCAGTGCCATATATAAGTGCTGCCTTTCAGTGCCCATCAGTGATGCTTGTCAATGCCCATGAGTGCCACCTACCAGTGCTTCCTCATCAGTGCCCATCAGTGCAGCCTATCAGTGCCCATCACTGCAGCCTCATTAGCGCACATCAGTGAAGGAGAAAATCACTTATTTACAAAATTTTATAACAAAAACTAAGAACAAAATTTTTTTTTCAAAATTTTCTGTGGTTTTTGGTTTGTTTAGTAAACAATAAGAAACCCAAAGGTGATTAATTACCACCAAAAGAAATCTCTATCTGTCTCAAAAAAATGATAAAAATGTCATGTGGGTACAGTATTGCATGACCGCGCAATTGTCATTCAAAGTGCGACAGCACTGAAAGCTGAAAATAGGCCTGGGCAGGAAGGGGGTATAAGTGCCCTGTAAGTGAGTGGTTAAAGGGGTTTAAAACAAAACAATTGTTGGTTAAAACCCACAAGTAGTTTTTTTATACCACTACTATTCCTTTATATTGGTGTGGGAATTTACAAATGCAGCAATTTAGAAATTGGGTGAAAGATTTAGCACTGTAAAACACTTTTTTTTTAGATAGATAGATAGATAGATAGATAGATAGATAGATAGATAGATAGATAGATAGATAGATAGTTCATTTTATATACAACTACATAGATCAGACCAAAATGAGGGAAAAATGATAAGGAAAGAGGGACAAAGGGATTTTGTTCTAAATGAAGGACAGTCGTCAAAATCAGGAAGAGTTTTGAGTTATGGGCTCTGGGCAATCAGCAGGTCCTGGGCATGAAACATTGGCCATCACCAGCCTGTACAGGTCACCTACCTGCAATGTGGATATAGTAGTCATTTACAGGACTACTTGTATTTTTTCAATTAATACAGGATGTTTCTCCGATTGGACAAGCAGGTGATTGTGGCGTCATCTAGAAATTACCTTGCATAAGTATCAGTGAGAATCCTCGTTTTGCTGTGGGAGGGGTCCAGCAGGCTCCACCTACTACAGACTGCTCATAGAAAACTACAGGAGAAAAACGCCCGTTCTTAACCTCGGAATCTACTAAGCAACTTATTCACTCCCTGGTTACCTCTCGCCTTGACTATTGTAACTCCCTCCTCATTAGCCTACCTAATTGCAGGCTATCCCCTCTTCGGTCTATCATGAATGCTGCTACCGGACTCATCCACCTTACCAACCTTACCAACCATTCATGTCTGCCATCAATCCACTGGCTTCCTGTTGCACAATTAATAAAATTCAAATACATATAAAGCCATTTATAGCTCTGCCCTAAATTCTCTCCGCTCCTCCCATGACCTCCTGCTCTCTAGCTCTCTTATCTCCTCCTCCCATGCTCATCTCCAGGACTTCTCCAGAGCCTCCCCCATCCTTTGGAACTCTCTACCCCCAATCTATCAGACTATCACCTACTCTGCCCACTTTTAGGTAATCTCTAAAATCTATCTCTTCTGGGAAGCTTATCCTGCCTTCAGTTAATAACCAAATCTTCTATTCCTCCTGTCGGTTCATCCCCCACAGTTATTACCTTTTGTACCACCAGCCCCTTCCTCTTAGATTGTAAGCTCCAAGGAACAGGGCCCTCCTAACCCTCTTGTATTGAACTGTATTGTTGCTGTATTGTCTCCCTTTATATTGTAAAGCGCTAAGCAAACTGTTGGTGCTATATAAATCCTGTATAATAATAATAACAGGAGGGAGCAAGACCAGTCACTCTGCACAAGGCACACTGATTAGCTGCCACTGGTCTTTATTTTGGGAAGCTTCTGCACAGAGATAAAGTGTAGCACTGAATAACTGTACAGACGTGTAAGAATTACACAAATCGCACCAAACGTCAGGAGGGAATACACATGCCTCCTGTGTTTAGACAGTATCTCCTTAGCCTGGAGTTTAGGTATGTTGATGTATCAGATTTTTTACTAGAAAAGCAGAGAGAGAGAGGGAAATGAGAACACTTGTAGACAACAACATGTGAGAGGAAATCTGTCAAAAGTAGACAGTTCTCTCTGGCACAAGTTAGAAAGTAAAGGAAAAAGGAAAAAAAAAAAACCTGACATGTTTTTAAAAACTCTATACTTTTTTAGCCCCAGTTCACACTGATGTGATGCAGGAAACACAGGAATTCTTGTGCGTTTTCCATACTGCATAGCAATTGCACTGTGCTCTGTAATCTGCTGCAGGTGTCCATGGAAAGTTAACAACGCCCCGAAAGCAGGTTGTAAATGCAATGTGTTTGCCTGAACCAGATTGCATAGGTATAAACATCCATGATATCCAGTTCCAGTGCAAATAAGAAAAAAGCTGCCCTCACCTTTTTGATGCAGATATGGTGAGATTTGAGCCATTCAAAATGAATGGCTGAAATCGCACCGCATTGAATCGCATCTGATTTGCACAGGAATATGGTGCAATCAGGGACGGACTGACCATTTGGAAACTCGGGCACTGCCCGAGGGCCCGGGGTCAGTAGGGGGCCCCATGAGATGCCGCTGGTACCTTTTTCATAGGCTTTTTTGAGTTTGGGCAAGGACACAGGGGCCCCATGATCCCCTATTGCCCGGGGGCCCCATAAGTTGTCAGTCCGCCCCTGGGTGCAATTCACATGTGGTTCACAGTGTGAACCTAGGCTTAAGGTTGCCAAAATAAAGTTAAACCATGTAAAACAAAAAAAAAAAAAAATCACATATGGCACCTATGGTGAATTCACATGAGTAAAAAGGACAACCCTTTGATATCCTGAATAAACTGATGTTAGACTCTTTATTCACACAAGAGCCACTGTGACCGTTCCGGCATTGCAAAACAATTGCTCTTTCCATAGGTGCCTAAAGCTTAACATATAAATTATAGATTTTCACTTGAGTGTTCTTAAAAAATAATTTTTAATGATCAAACATTGTGGCAGGCGCAGCACCCTTTGGTGCCTAGTGCGCTGTGGCATTAGAACAATTATGCAATTGCTGTTTCTTTGTTTGATTAGACTGACTTTACTCTGTAATTCCTCCAATGCCGCTCTATGGATGCAGTAGGTTTAAAGAGCACACCGAATACTTTAGTTAACTTCTTTAATAACTTCAATCTTCTTCATATAACACTGCTTACAATGGCTTATTTCTTTCATATTACAGTGGTTTAATTCGTATTACATTGGGTTGATTCAATAGCTTATCTTGATAGATTCGTTAGATTCGATTGGATTATGATTACTCTACAGTGACTTGATTCGTAAGTTTGGTGGAACTACAAGTAAACACATACAACAGTTTTTACACACAGATCTACCTGCACTGTTAAACAATAGAGGAACACACAAGTGCATTAAATACCTATTTGGCCTTCTCTACTTCCATGGAGCTTCTCTGATTGGAACTTTGTCTGTTTCCTCCTCTGTCTGGTGAGCATGTGTCTCTAGAAAATCCTAGCAGGGAGTTTTACACAGGCACAAATGTGAAACTGGCTGGGATTGGTTAAGGCTCTGTACAGTGTGAGGCTGTCTGTGATTGGCTCACCTTTAACTAACTCTTAAAGGCATATTTTCCTTTCTTCCTTCTGCTAACACAATGAATATATAAATGTCATATAACATTCAAAGACATAAATTACAGCAATGATTCTGCTTTTGGCTTTAACATATACACATATACACTGTACTGAGGTTATTGGCAGGTTTGGTATACACATATATGTGAACCATATTAGCAACCTAGGACTGGTCTTAGCTGGCCAGCTACAAACATTTTTTCCCAATCGAAAACCACATTCACAGTTAAGCCCAGTGCACATTTATCAAAAGTCGTCCGGTCCAGCAGGTACTGCTGTCTGGTCAACAGCAGCCATTCTAAAGACTGGCTTCTGTCGAATGGTCTTGCTGGAACTATTGTTGCAATATTGCATAGAGCTGTCCCTTACCTCCCATTCTGGGGCACCCTGCCAGTGCTGTCCCTTACCTACCATTCTGGGGTCCCCCACCAGTGCTGTCCCTTACTTCCCATTCTGGGGTCCCCTGCCAGTGCTCTCCCTTACCTCCCATTCTGGGGTCCCCTGCCAGTGCTGTCCCTTACCTCCCATTTTGAAGTCCTCCGTCAGTGCCCCTCGCTCCTCCTCTCCAGTGTCTGCCTTCATAGCAAACCTCTCACTTCTGAGCCGGGCTGTGTATATCCATAGATATACACAGCGTGGCTCGGCCCGGCCCTGCCCCCCGCTCCCGCCCCACAGGATTTGACTTACAGTAGCAGGAGCCAATGGCTCTCAATGTGACCTTTGAGGGTGCAGCGCTGCTGCAGATAGGTACAGCACTGGATTGAGAGTAGGGTCAGTAAGTTTTGGGGGGGAGAACAAGTAGTGGGGCTTTTTCTACCTTAATGCAGGGAATGCTTTAAGGTAAAAAAATGTCTTGACTTTATGAAAACTTTAAGGTTGATGGATGAAGTTTGTATGGCAATACCTCAAACACCCAAGGTTGTTCAAATTTGCCAAAGACATCTCAGATATACTGCACATCCTATGCTCTGTAACATGGCAAAAAGATTTCCATAGGTTAACAATGAATTTCTCATTCTTATATTAAAATACTGTAACTATTTCTGTTAGCATTTATAAAGGAATGCAAAATAATTTTGGGTTAATATCAATCTATTTACAGATATTGAGAACTGCTATGGGAATTATGTTTGCAAGTTTCTTTGCTTTATGCAGGCTTTCAAGAACATATACCTCCTCAGAGGTAACCCATATGATATAAACTTGGTCCTCTACAAAAATAAATAGATGACCATTTTCTGATTCTTTATTTAAATTATAATGATCTATTTAAATTATAATGATCATGGTCTGCCTTGCACCTGCCACACTGTCGCACTCACC